GAGTAGATGGAATCAGATGAAATTGATACGGCACCACAAAGGTATTAACGCGAGTTGGAAACTATGGGAAATGAACGTTCTCTAGAATTTTTATCTTAATTAAATTAAAATTAAATTGAAGTTAGTAAGTGATGTGCCCTTCAAAGTAAATGAGCTTCAGACAGATGAGAAACAAAATTTGTTCTTTATGTCTCAAAAGTAAAATGATATTAGTAATTTTCGATTTAAGGACCAAAAACGTTTAACCTTTCGCACGGATATAAAGCTTCTCTACTTTTGGTACAGAGGAAGAAAAACAAACTTTTTTTTTTATTAGTATTTTTTTAGTTATTTCATGAAGTCGAATCTCTCTGTTATAATACACGTGAATAGTTTGAATAACGGTAATAACAACAGTAATAACTTTATTATTAAATTATTTATTTGAATTTAATATCAGCTATTATAAGAAAAAGTGTTAAGAAGTGGTAACTTTAATATATCATATTAATTTCTGTCCCTGACCCCTGACACTAAATCTTCATCTTTTCACAAGCTCTAGAACGCGATGCTCCTTAAATACTTTGAGTTAGATAACTAATTTAACTAATTTTTAGAAACCTATACTTATTTATTAATTTATTTATTCGCCATTCCTAGTCTTCGGGCAAAATGGATGTCGGCAACTTGTCGGCTTATAAAAATGTTCCCAATTAACATCCATCGTTCACAGACTTCGTGTACCTCAGTCTGGCGGTCGTCCAACAAACGGTGCTTTTCTCTGAATATTGAAATGAACAGGACCGACTTCGGTTTTCCACCCGTAGACAAGAGACTTGAAGAGTGGTTAGTTCTCTTCGGTCTCCAACTGAGGGAAATCTTTCTCAGACAGGACGAGAAACTGGGCTCTACATTTTCCGTCAGACGTTTAGCCCTAAGGGGCTCAAAGACGAAGCAGTCCACCTGTACTTCATGATTGAGTGGCCAAATTAATTATTAGAATTAATATGAATATTTTATTACATTCCTAATTTAATAATTAGGAATGTAATAAAATAGGTCCGAGCTCTCGCCTATTCTCGAATCATCCTTCTAAGCTAACATACTAAATGAAACGGGATAAAAGTGTGTCGAGGTATTGTAAAGTGGCTAACAGTTACCTGAAGGCCTAGGCAGAGCGTTGCTTCATTTAGGGGTAATATGACTATGTGGATGAAGGAAAATGAATAGAATAGGCGGATCAGCACCCGACCACTCTTAGTCTGCGGTGTGAGGAACCATCCTTAACACTCCGCAGGAATTGTAACCACAACCGGAGGGATCAATCTCCTGACATAGTATATAGGAATACTAGCGGACGTATCAGCGTCCAGATTTGCATGGAGTAAGAGAAGAGAATAAAAATTTAATGGACAAAATGAAATAAAACGCAGTTTGTTAAAGACCAAAAGGCATATATGTATCATAACTTACCATCTTCGTAAAGGTCAACGCCCTGAAGGGGTGGATATTCGAGGACCTGACAACATTGAGATAGGACTGCGGTATTCATTCCGCAAAGACTAAATCGGCTATAAAGAGCAGTTACAATAACAGTAATTTTTAAGCTTTGAGCAGAATATGTTATTGCCATTAAACTTCATTAATAGAAAGTATTTACAATGTATATACATATTTTAATTTATAATTTGAGTGTTTTATCATATAACAATAAGAAATAAAAATAAATAGTAAGTAGTGTGAACTAGTTGTCCCCTGTAGCAAGTGGCGGGCATCTGTTGCGGCTACATGTGTATTTGTTTTCATTTTTCGAACCGTCTCTTATTCTGTTCATGTTCTGTACAAGAAGAAAAATAAAATTTGTTAGACATGTTATTATCTCAAATGAATTTTCTTTTCTCTATTATTATCATACAATTTATATATCTTTCTTTTCTATGTTTCAAATATATCAGATACCTCCATTGGAAGTCGGCTGATTAGAGCTATTATCTCTTCTTTTACAAACTCGACTTATATTCAATAACCAGTTGAGCAGCATAGAATCTGATATTTGAAATCCAATCTGCTAACGCTTTGTAGTATCTGTAAGCAAGCAAACCACCTTTGTTTTAGCTTTGTTCCATCACTTATTGGTCAATGCTCAAACATTTAGAATGCCGAACCCAGCTTTATTCATTTGCGTTTCATTTTTCATGAGATGCAAACGCTTGTCTGTCGAAGAACGTCAACTATTCTGGCCAGTAGAAGTATTAGGATTTCCATTATTACAGTAGATTGTTAATTTATCGCTAATGAGCGAAAATTATCCGATTGACGACTTAATTTTTAATAAAAAGAAAATAATCAAATAAGTTTTAGTTATTGGTCGTAACTATTGTAATATAAGAAGACTAGTTGGTAAATAATATTTTATTTTAATAAGCAAAAAAATAAAATGGAATTGTAGAGGGATTTACTTATCCTTAGTTATTTTTTTAAAAACCACTCAATATATATAAATGTATTTTATTTAATTTTTTGTGTTAATAGTTATCTGAGGACCGCATGTAAATCATTTCTCTACTTTCTAATTAACACATAATCCCTTAATTTTCTCTTCCCTTCTCTCTTCTTTTTTTTCACTACAAGCGCCTTAATGTATTATCTGATTTTTTTCTCTGTCCCATTATTATTTTTCTGTAATACTTGTTATGTCTTCTTGCATCTGACATGGGTATTCCCCAATGTCTCTGAGTCACTTTGTCGAATATATCATTTTTTAACTGTTTTCATTCATTCTTGTTATGAATGTCCGATTTTAGCTTTTTTTCGAAAGATTCTTTTTAGTGTAGGTATCCTTTGTCAAATGTCTCAATCTCTCCAATTTTACTTCCCTAATTTTCGGTAGTTATATGGTATATACATAAAAGGTATATCTCTTATAATTATTAAAGTAATATTGAGCCTATGTTGTCCTTCACAAGGAAGTATCAAGAGAGACTGAGCTAGGTGTGGTTTCCAATTTACTCTGAAATAGAAAATGTTCTGAACCATCTTCTGGGAACTTCTGTGTTAAAGGTTAAAACAGCGACATCAAAGATGTTCACACACACACACACACATATACACCTAATTGTCAATTAGTTTCTAATGTATTTCAGCAATCTCTCAACATTCCATAATAACGGAAATTAACAATAAGTGTGCAATTAATGTAGAAAGCTAAAGAGTAACCAACATTCCTTCTCAATATTGTATCAAATCGAACAAAAGCGCTGATAATCTTCAACACTCTTTTAACTTCGCTTACATGAGATACATGAACACTTGCACATCCCCTCGAAAAATATTAGAAGTATATCAACTCTAGCTCAGTTGCCACCAGATTTGTTTAGAAAAAAACAAAACAATTCAATGGCTAATAAATATGTTTTCCTAATTCGGATTTTACTCACTTTCCTTAACTACAGGAACAGAGGGATTACCTTCCTTTCATACAAAAACTTATACATTCCCCGCTAAATGGATTAAAACTCAATCCCAAACGTGCCCTTTATTAAAATCACAGATGAAATACAATTTTGTACCAACAGAATAACAGCATCCTCAGCCGACGACAAAGTTATTCTAACAAAAGAAGAATTTTAGGATTGATGCTAACAATGGAAAACGAAACAATACAACGGTAAACAACAGTGCATCCATTCGCATTTATTTTATATAAACAATGATACTATTCGAGATGTATAGAAAATCAAGTCCCATTTTCAACAGAAGGATACTGCAGGAGTAGTATATAAAAACCAAACGAGGAGGAAAGGAAATTGGTAATTAGGAATCAATCTATAAGGTGAGATTTAATAAACTTATTGCAAAGACAACTCTGTAAATTCTACCATATTTATAACTTAAATAAGTGAAATCCTCATACCAGACTGAAACGACAAGAAACCGCTCGATGTTTGCAATTACTTCAGCACTTACTAGATAAACGCTCTAAACTTCCAAATAATTAGAAAAAACTCATATACATTTTGTTTAAAGCTGACAGCCTATATTGAAAAATTAATTGTAGCTAAGGGAATATGATTCACTGAATATTAGAGAATAACAAATAGTTTTGTTCCAACACGAGTTTTCCCAATCAATAAATTGTCAGCAGTATGTGTTTTTTCGTTCTAAAATTTGTACACAGCATTAGCCAGTTTTTGGAACAGAACAATAAATAAATCACATATTGATAATTTCCAAAAAAAATCTAAAAACGTACTACATAGACTTAAATATTATTCCCTTATACTTTTTCATATTACGCCACTTTAATGATCAACCTATTTACTTAAGCAGTTCCAGTAGAAATCTTGGGTTAATGATCATTCAATTTATATTCTGGAATAAACATTTTTCAAATTACTTGAAAATCTATTGCCGTCTTCAAACAGTTCTTAAGATCCTGAAATTTTATACCCGTTACAACCTGTCAACTTCTAGTTTCCTCTATCATTTTCTCGTATATTGATTATGGTCGCTTCGTAAAGTGTGGATTGTCTGGTGTGTATGTACAGATAAATCTAGTGCCCTTAGGCGCTCCCACATCTCCAGTTAGTATGAAGAAACCATATGGCTTTTCCTATTCTCCCACACCAATATTGACTGGAAAAGTATAGCCGGATACTTTTACCAATCCTCTGAAACCAAAAATCCTACTTACAACCTAGATTTTATCACTACCTTGTTGTATACCTGCTACATCGAATGGAATTATTTACCCAAATCTCCATCACCTGAATAATTAATCTTCTTAAAATATGTGAGGATAATGTTGTGATATTATCTATCTATTATTTTACTAAATCAACGCCATGATACATAAATTCTTGTCTTCTTTATTTATAGAAGGCGATTAAAAATTAGTTCATGTTGTTCATAGGGGAATGATGTACCATATACCATAACATATATCTAGTACAACCACCTACTAGGTAACATGGGTAAGGTAAAGTGTATTTAAGCCTTTTTAAGTTATTTATAATTTCTAGGTAACACTGCCGTCCTCCTGGTGTTATTGAGTTCGAGGTTCCGGATGACCGTACCCAAGTTCCTCATGTGTAACCTGGCGTTGGCTGACCTCTGTATGGGGGTATATCTCCTCATGATCGCAGTTATGGATGCTAAATCGATTGGAGATTACTTCAACTATGCTATAGACTGGCAGAGTGGTAAGTACGAAATATGGATAAATATGTTATACCATATATATATATATATATTCTTGAATTTTTGTTTTAGAACATGATTGTACATATATTAAAAATTTCAATAACTGAATAATAGTAGATGTGGTTTGGAACCAATTTAAAAAAATAATAACATCAGGTGTAGTGCCTTTCTGACTACCTAACTATTTGGTTAAATCAAGCAACATAAAATGAAAAAACTGAGGCAATCGAAGGGGTAAATGAAGGTGAGGAAAACAAAGGGCAGGAAATAGGAAAAATATATATAGCTGACTAAAGAAATAAGATGAGAAATTGTTAAAAGTAAAAAAAGTGATATAACGTTTATAAATAACGGGAGAACCAAATTACTGATTAATGATTTAAAAATCCGGCCTGGAAGACCAAAATGACGGCCTTGGGTTCCTCTCAATTAAATGTAAAATGTCGGATATCAACATTCAAGATAAAATCAGAAATATATATTATATACATGATATTATGTTTATTTGCCAAAAAAAAATATTGATAGCTCAAAATCTAAACAAAAGTGTGAGATAAATATACATTACTAATGAGAAAGAAATGATAAAGAAAAATAAAATTTGATGAACTACTATGGTTACAATAAATAAGGAATCATAACATATTACAATGGTTGTTCAATGAAATAAAAGTCGTTACTGATAACTTAAGGCTTGAATATTGGCCCATGAGCTCAGTGTCGTCATTTTGTTCGTTGAGTAGTAACTTGATAAACCGCATAAATAGTCCAGTCAACGAAGGAGTTGTAGAGTGCATGGAGGACAGGCAAGCAATTGACTTATGGAATTTGTTGAGGACACTTAAGGGATAAACATACTAAAAGTCCCGGCCCCTACCCCTTCCGCTTCATGGTGGGTAAGGATCCTTAAAGGTCACTTTTTCGATATTTTCTCATATATCTTGAAAGTGAGGTATTGCAAATGAAGCATTGTGGTATAGAAAATTAAAGCTGACAAAATTTTCTTTAAGAAAGAGTATTTTCGTTACTTTCGTATCTTGTCTAGTATTCGATATATTCACTAACTTAAATTGCCTATTTTCAATAAAATTTATTTTCGTCTCGCGTTGTGATAAAACATATGTTGTTGCCTGCAACATTATGAGTGTAGCACAAGATGAAACAAATTTTAAACGAAAACATATGTGTTAATATTATATTAAAAGATGAATAAATTAATTTTCATGTTGATGAGACATAAGTTTGAATTGTATATCAGAAAAAATCTTCAAGATCATTGCAAGATCCAGAGTGCAGATAAACCTGGTGAGCAGACACCAAGAGCTATGAATATAAAACTGCTTATTATAAGATAAGGAAGGCGGTGGATAACGCCAACTTTATCGCTAACCATTGCAACAGCATCACCATCCAACCAACAACTGTTTGTTCTGTGTTATAGTTAGTACCATAGGAATTTCAAAGGATCAGAAAATATAATTTAAATTTTTATACAGTTATTCATTTACAGTTATTTATTCAGAGAGTAGTTTTATATTAAAATTAATTTAATTAAAAAAATGATTTCAAAATAAAAGCCTATTTTTTTTTATTTCTTTATGAGTATTATAACAATCTGTCTGTTGGACATTGGTTATAGTGAGGTAGGATGACATTCACACTATATGTACAAAAAAAAAAAAATAAATAGAACAAAAAAAAAAAAAAAAAAAACCTTGCGCAGAGGCAATATCGTAACCAATGAAGTTCTACCAAGGTGCGTTTATTGCTTGTTGAAAAGCCTATTAAAATTAATTTATGATTACTCGTATTAAATTTTATTGTTCAAGTACTAGTACACTAGTGAAAATAATGTGCAAGTCTTATATAAATATTTTAATTGAAAATAACAAATATTTATGAATTTTTGATTTAATAAACAAAAAGTGGAAACCCCAAAAAATATAACACAAATGGCACTAATATATTCGTTTTTTTAACTTAACATTAAAATAACAAATTTTCGATTTTTAAGATCAATTCAAAGGAGCTATAAAATGTGCGAAACCTAAAAAACCTCTAAAGAATTTTTGAGAATGCCAAAATTTACCCTCACTTTTTACATCGTTGTTCTGCCTAAAAAACAACTGTATATATATATATATATATATATATATATATATATATATATATATATATATATATATATATATATATATATCAAATCAAATTTCAGCTCGTTAATCCAAAAGAGATCCCTTTAAGTGCACAAATCTAGTGGGTACAACGAATGTTTATGTACTTCACGGGGTAGTTATAATCGTCACTCAGTCTTTTCTTTATCAATGGTGCTGCCAGCAACTGACCGAGAGAAAGAAGGAAACACTGTCTAAGTTGATGATAATTATTCTTCCATTCAATGGAAGTGCGAACTTTTCGAAATTGTTTACCGAGTGGAATTTCTCAAAAATATTTCCAGACGAACGCAAAAATGCGATGCACAGATAATACCATGTGGGATGATACCTCAGGGAGCCTAACTACGTTTTCGTGAAAATATTATTTTATATTAATTTTAAAAAAATTAATTTATCGTAATGTAATTGAATATAGATAGTCCAAGGATAAATTTCCGGTGCCTCATTACAATAGAAACCATTTTGTGTAGTTTATACAAATTGTTAAACCCATAGGGTCTTTTATGACCTCCCGTGTTATCAGGAGAGTTAATGGATAATTAAAAAATTAATTTAGAAGGTGGCCTCGTGATCTTCTTTTGTATATTTATTACTTAAGTTCTACCAGTGGATAGTTTCTCAACAAGTGATTTCATGTTATTATATTCCTGAGTGCACATTTACTAGATTTTTTTTTTAAATATAATTGTAAATATCATGAATGTGAAATAAAAAAATGGATTTAGTGTTAACAAATAGTTTAGTGATTTAGAATAAAATAAATAATGATACAAATAAATTATTTGATAACAAAATATTTCTTTAGAAGATTTTAATGAATCATACAAGTTATGCGACTCTGACAGTTAATCTTGTAATTAATATAGTCAGAAAATAACTTTGGGTGTGGGACCTTCTACTTGTGTTCCTCAGAATGACAGTTGTGTTTGAATTTGTATAACCTACTTTACTGGGAGGCCTTAACACAAACAGAAAACTCTTACGCTTTCGACACACCAACTTAAACAATAAATATTTTGTCTTTCGATGATAAAGGATAGAGAGTTTTATTTGTTTAAGCCTTGTTTATCAAAAATGTTTTTCGACTTCCTTTACCTAACATCAAAAACGTCTTAAGGTCAGAAAAAAAATTATTAGTACAAATGTTAAGTTGAATACTAATTAAGTTGGCTTCTTAATTAAACATTAAATGTTTTCTACATCGTTGTTTTGCCTAGAAACAACAACAATATATATATATATATATATATATATATATATATATATATATATATATATATATATATATATATATATATATATATATATATTTCAAATTTCAACTCGTTTGGTACGAAGGAGATCCCTGTAAGTGATCAAATCTAGGGAGACAAAAAATATTTATGTTACTATAAAAGCGGGAATGCAATAAAACTTGAGATATACCGGTAAATTTTAGGACTTTTAAATGGTAGAAATAAAAGATCAAAACCTTATGAGAATCATGCTTGAGATCAACCATTTGGGATTTGGTTGATATCAAGATTTTCTGAAGAACGTGGTAAGTTTTCTTCAATTATACACATTCATTTTCCTAAACTGTGTAGCTTTTCAATGATACATCATAAATACATTTATAGTATTTCTAAGTCAATATCAGCCTTTTCCGAATCAAATTCAACCTTTTCTAAGTCAAGCTAAACCTTGTCCATTTCAAACTCAACCTTTTCCATTTCAAATTTAATTTTCGCGTAATCTTAAAATGGAGGTCATTTTCAAAATCTACTGCTCCGAAAGCCAAAGGACTAAACCAAATATAAAAGGATATACCCGTGTATGCAAAACTCAGAATAACTTTAAAAAGTTGAAACGCAATGGCGTAATCTTAAAATCGAGGTCATTTTCATAATTCACGGTTCCGGAAAATTAAGAATACAACCTTACATCGAGTAATTTGAAAAACTTAAATAAGTCGAAACGCAGAGGCTTAATCTTAAAATGGAGGTAATTTTCAAAATCTACGGCTCAGAAAACACAAGAATACACCCTTATATCGAATAATTCCTAAAAACTAAAATAAATCGAAACACAGTGGCCTAATCTTAAAATGAAGGTTATTTTCAAAAACTACTCATAGGATAACCGACCCACACATCGAAAAATCAAAAACAATTAAATAAATAAAAAAGGTTGAATTTGAATTTGAAAATTTCTAATTTGAAATGGAAAACGTTGAATTTCACTTGGAAAAAGTTTAATTTGAAATAAAAAAGGTTGAATTTGACTTGGATTTGAATGGACCAAATTTTATTTGGAAAAGGAAATTGACTTGGAAATGCTATACATTACTACTAGAATTTCCAGAAATTTGGTTTAACCCTGAGGAAATGTTTATTATTAATGTTTTTACCTTCTGTTTTTTATCAAGCTTTTTTGTATTTAGCCAAATTATTATACCCTGTATACCCTAAAAGACCAGGAAGGGGTGGAAAAAACAAATCTCTGATATCTTCCAATTTATTTTTAATACAAGTAGTCCAATTTTTAAGACCCCAAGAGCGTGGGAATATCTAATTTTTGTAATTATGTAACTTTTTTTTAACTTCCATCTCAACATCTCATCCAATTAGATTAGGTTCATGAAATTTGATTTACATTTGGAAAGCTGATAAAACAAAGTCTTTTTTCTGAACAAGATGAAATTCGAACATTTTTTAAATCTTCCAGTATATAGCTCGAAAATTCATTACGTGATTTTCTGTCCAGCATTTCAGAATTTTCTTTTGAATAGTTTACTTTGTTTTGGCTGATTAGCGCTTGACGAATCAATATCTTCATTCAAA